CTGAACTGAACATGAACCTCACTTGAAGGTTCAATATTGAACATGATTGAACTGAACCTGAACCTGAACTTGACCAATGTTCGGTTTCAGTTCGGTTCATAGGAACACTATGTGAACGGCTGTACTTCCCTTTATAGTAATGAGAATCCAGGCATGTTTTGTAACAAGTTACCCTGTACTTTCAGAACTGATAGTTGGCTAGCATCATGAAGCTTCTTGTATAACAAGTGCATCATTTCTTTTTATAGTACTTATATTAGTTATCTGTATTTTGGTAAAACCAAATCACTCTTAATGTCTAAAGACTCCCATATAGGTGCGCCCAGAGCTTTGTTGGGTCTTGATATATACACACCTCCATGCTTTGGTTTCCTTTTGGTAAGCAGCTCTATACAGCACCAGAGGTGTTTCAAATCTGGTAAGGCCAATTCTTTATCACAAGTTCTATTGTGTTTCACTACTTTCCAATTCTAGTTACCACCTAGTTATCCTTCCAAACAAGATCCCAGTACTACCTTAGAGTTGTTGGTGCTACCTATACCAATCAAAAATTTATATATACAATCTTCATGTAATAGAACTTTCTATAATATTAACTATTATATGTAGCACTATTATTTGGACTTCTCATGTATGAGTATGTTCAAATATTCGTAGATAAACATACCTACTAGAACTTGAACCCAAAACCCACTCATGAAGAGTTAGATGTCTAGACCACTAGGCTATAAAATTTTAACTTGCATTTTATATTATTATTATTTTTTTTTTGGTATTAAGGTGACCTCTTGGCTAGGGTTCTTTTATTAGGTTATCAAATTATTACATACTGTTATTGTATTTCTAATATAACACTCTATATATAAACATCTTACTTAGGACTTACTAACTCTCTAGTTAGTGACTAACTCTATTAAGCTAGTCTATCTCTGAGGTAAACCTAACAAAGTAGTCCATGTTCCATACATGTTTTACCTATATATTCAGTAATTACTTCCCAATTAGTATATATTGTCTGCCGTTATTGTGTTCGTATTTCAAGCCACCTTTTGGGGTGCTAACATAACACAATTTGTATCTCAAGCACAACCTTTCTAATTAGTTTTTTATTATATACTCCTGCCCTTGTAAGATTCACAACAACCTCAGTACTCTACATTCCAGTTGTCTTCTTACCCGAATTCTTTACTGGTCCCTTCTTTACTTCTAGCTAGCAACCCGGATGGGTTGGTCTGCCCAGGCTTTAGATGCCTGAAGTACATCCTCCCCTTGGTCTGTACTTTCAAAGTATACAGCCTTTTCCTTTGAAGCCGGCGGTTTAGCTAGTGTATCCCCCTACTAAGGGACTTGGTTGCTTGGTTCTTCAATCTCAAGCCCTGGTTTGAATTCAACCTTCATATAGTACTATCAAAAATCACTGCTACTCCCAACTTGGGACTTTCCAAATAGGCTTCCCATACAGTAAACAACAGTCCCCAAGATTTACATGATCATAAACTTATTGAGTGTTTGCACCACTCTAAGCCAGTTTGTATTCCTTTGTAGTTCCTAGGTTTCTCCAGTTGTACAAATGCCAGTGGATCTCCCAGAATCACTCCTTGGTACAACTCGAGTTACAGATCCTCAATTCAAGATCCAACCATTTTATACAGGTTACCATACCACAGGCCTATTTTCAAAATCGTCAACCGTGGAATTCGAACTCTAGACCTGCTACTTGGAGAGGGTGACAACTAGACCACTTCACTAAGTCGCCACACCTTGCATTTTATATTATTTGAAAATCAAACCTTTTATATAATATAGTAAAATAGATATTTTTTAATTATTGTTTTCTAAAAATATATTTATAATATGTTTATATAAAAAACAACTATAAAAAGATTTAATTATACTAATAAAAATTTCTTTTAAATACAATATATATTATTAAAAAATTTCTGAAAAATTATTTAAATTTTTAAATTTTTTTTAAAAAAATATTATTAACAAATAGATAATATATATTATATATATATAATTTTTAGACAAATTTGGTTAAAAAATCTGCAAATTAAAAAGTAAATTACGTATACGTATTATATTTAATATATATTAAATTAATTATAATTTTTTATTACTATAATATATAATATATATACTATATATCTATAAATAAATATTTCATTTTTTAAAAATACAGTACGAAATTTAAATAGCGTATATTTTTTAAAAAAAAATTATTTTATATATACATATAAATTTACTAGACCTACGAATAAAATATAGTATATAACACCTACTTTAAATTAGTTGATTATTTATTAAAAATTGCCTTTATTATATTTTATTCAAATATACTCTTTTTCATTAAATTCTAATTCTAATTTAAAAAAGCCAAAAATTTTTTAGCTTTAATCAATTTTAACTCATCACAGCTGTTAATACGTATTATTTGAATTTTAATTTAACATGTCAAAAAAATTTCAAATTTGAAGTTGGGCTTATTCAACTTATACAAATTTAATTCCAACTGGCAACACGGATCTTTGGTACGACTCAACAAAAAAGAAAAGTACCGAAATCATTCGATCGTATGTATACAAATATTAGATTTAATTAAGAGTTCTGCAAGGGTAGTGTTAAAACATAGTGCCTGTATCTACGCCCGGAACCATTAAAACATAGTGCTGGTACCCGGCATTTGCAGACCTTAACTTAATTATAGAATAATATGGAAATTTGAAAGGAGGTATTCACAGGATCATCACTTAATAGTATACTTGGACTAAATGATGTCACTATTGCAGTTGCGATTTAATAATTTACTGCATTTAAGCCATAACTTATTGGTAATTCATTATTAATTATCGTTATAAATTAGTTATAAATTAGTAATTCATTTGACGCCCAATTGACAGACATAAACAAATCACAAAAGCTTTGGGGTAAATACAGGCTTTATATGGATGTGAAAAGCAAAAATGAAAAGGTATTTATTTGGTTTTTTTTTTTTTTTTTTTGTTGCTTAAAAATATTTATGTTAATAACAATGATTTAAACATGGCAAGAAGTTTTTACCATTTTACATTCCTCTTATGAACCTTTTTGAAAGTATTAGTATTGAAAAATTAGCCGCAAGCTATTACTTATATATCAAAAATGGATGTACATACGTACATACGTACATAAGAACTTCATTTCCGAACAAGCTTTGCATCAAATTAAGACGTTCATTGACTAAGAAGGGTTTTATATGGTACGTTGTTTAAGGCCAAACCTGGGATTGCATAATCATTGATTCACCGGGATTAATCATTCGTGTAACGTAACACACCGATGAATTATTAATATAAGAGCATTTATCCAAAATATAATAAAGTGGCGTAGTGCAATATTTAAAAAAATTATTTTAAATCACAAGTCATCAGCAGACCTTGCACAACATTTAGCAAATCATCAAATGCAGGATAGGTCCATGCACTTTTTTTGACAACTAATATCGACAGAATAAAAGACAGTTAATAAATAGTTAACGTAGATCAATATGTCCATATGTACGCTCTTACGTATCAATCCACAATCACGATACGGCCTCTAAAAATAACAACAACATAAGTAATGTTCATTACAATTAATTACAATTAAGGAGAATACCTGAAGTTCTATGCGACATGTGAAAGGAATACGTGGGCAAATCTCAAAGGATACCCCTTTAAGAAGTTGGGTGACAAATAGGTGGATCTACTATCACTATCTATGTTAAACAATAGGCAAAAATCGCGGTGATGCCAAATTAGACCATAAAAAATTAAGTTCTGATCCATTTAGTAAAAGTAGCTACGCCAAACTATGATAAATTAGGCCAAATTTTTAATTGCTGAAATCACTATCGTAAGGATCATATAAAAAAGAGGCACGCGACTACTAACTTTGTAACTGTGTTTTTCTTGTACCAAAAATAATCATCAGCACCACACATCGGCCGCATTGTCACACTTTGTACCTATAAAATAACTATAATCGGCCGTTCATACTTCATATTCCTTTTGTTTCCGATAATTTTTTTTTTAAAAAAAAAACAAAAAAAAACAAACCCAAAAAAAATGGGTTCATCACTCTCGCATTGTGCATGTTCAGGTCTTGGAGAATTAAATGAATCAAATGAAATAACGCTTTCTCATCAAGTTGTTTCTTTGGTTCCAGAATTTAATAGCGATGACGTACATATAAATTCTTATACTGCGCAACATGTGTCAGGTTTGTTACAAAAAGCCGACCTTACATTAAAATCCAATGAATACGGAAAATCTATTAAATATTTGCAACGAGCTACTCAATTGGGTTCTGCTCTTGCCGCTGCGAAATTGGGATCAATATACAGTCAAGGTCTTAACGCTACCATAGCTCAAGACTTTGCAACATCAGCCGCATATTATTTCCTAGCTTTAAAACTTATTATGATGATACCATGTACATCATATTATTCATGGGATTTATCCCTTGTTCTCGACGTTGTTATTGGATTAACAGATCTATATCGCCGAGAATTGAACCATCACAACGAAGCAGATACAGATATTATAGAGTGTGGGGTAAAAATCATGAGAAGTATAGATGATAGATTACGAGATCCCTTTTTCATTAGAATTCTTGATCATAATGATGTTCAATTACAAAGAGCGATACGTATACATGTAAATTTTTGTTTTGCTATAACTTACATGATGGCAGGAGAAATTTATGAGTCTAGAATGTCATTCCGAGAGGTTGAAGCAATAGGGGAATGCGGGCATGAAAGTGCAGATCTATTGGTTATAAAAGCTCGGGAACACATTCATTGGTTAGATTCTCAATTACCAAATTTCACAGATTGTGCACAATGTAAATATGCACCAACAAATTTAAAAGATATTAAGACATTAGAGATGTGTCCGAGATGTCAAGAAGTTGCTTTTTGTGGGAAGGATTGTTTATCAATGCATACTTCTTCTTGCTCAGGAACTTTTTTATAAGATACAAATTAATTTATAAAAAATTTTATGATAAATTTATAAAAAAAAACTTTTTTTATTTTATACTCGTGTACAATAATCTAGAATAGTATAAAATAAATAAACGTTGTGGGTACCCTTACCTTTTATCGTCACACGATCATGTTGATATTCAAGAGGGTAAATCTTATTTATATCGAGGATTTTTAAATTATATCCTTGATAAAGTTTACTGATAAAATTTTAAATTTAAACAAATAATATAAAGTGAAAATGTTTATGATTTGACAAGCCAGATAGTTTCTCATGTGATCAAGAGAACCAATGACCCGAAATAGATTTCTTTACCAAAATAATATGATGATTTGTGTATGAATGATATTCGTCCAACTCTTTATCAACAATTTGTTTTATTGTACGATTATATTCGTCCTCTGTTAATTCAGTAAAAGGCGCTAACCAAGGTTGAATTGTTAAATACGCTTGTTTTAAATTTGCTGCATTAATTTCTCCAATTCTTCCACCCCATCTACGTACGTACGTCAATTTATTTTTATTTTGTTAACAAATATACGAAACCGATTATCAAGACTTTTTTTATATAGAACTTTACACGTACATACCTTCCAAGAGGTATTGACCAATAAGTTTTGCTTATGTTTTCAAATCCTGCTGATTTATAATAATCAGTCAGGTAATATACCACTCTTAGATTAACATTCCTTCGATTTTTAAATTTTTGAATGGTAAATTTAACAATTCTCAAAATTAAAGTAAATTCTCAAAATTAAAGTAAATTCTCAAAAATTAAAGTAATATGCTAACGATGATTACCTTTTTGAAGACGTCACGTGCACTAAAAATATATTGTGAGATAACGATATCTAGTCTCTAGAACTTGAATTCGGAAATTCCATTAACACTTACTACAAGTATTTTGCATTTTGTTTAGCAGAGGCCCTGCAGAGTGTACTAACATTTAAGAATAATGTTAAAAATTTGCCTTAAATCTTAATGACACAAAGGATTGTTTCCTTTTATTCCAAATATTCCAAATCATTACCAAGCCCATCACTTTCATGTTGCTCGATTATACCACCAGATTTCAAGACCCTTTTAAGTTCCTATATAATAGTATAAATACATATTATTATATAATCAATATATATTTTATATAATCAAGCCAACTAAACAATATTATCAACGTACATACATACGTACGTACATGCATCAATGGAGGCCAATCTCTATTCGTTATTTCGGCATATAAATTTCTTATCCAAATAAAATCAAAAAAATTGTCTTCAAATGGTAATCTACAGAGAATGTTTCCGTGTACAAAAGTACAATTATATGGTGCGATGAAAGGTAAATTTGGAGATATGTCAATACCATAGACTTCAGCATCAGGAAACATTTGGGCAATCTAAAGTGATTGTTCAGATTAAATATAATGTAAAAAAGCAAATAAATAAAATAAAATAATAATTATATTTAAGAAATGACAAACCTCTATTGACCATTGTCCTGAGCCGCATCCTACATCCTTATGCGAAAACTATCATTAATGAAATTACATAAAAAAAAAAAAAAAAAAAACACACTTACCAAAATTTTGGATCCTTTTATTATAGTTTCTTTAAGCGGCGCTGTGAAATTACCATGACATACATGTTTAAGTGCAAAATGTCGTGCATGTAATCGATAACCTTCTTCGATCTTTGTTGGAAACTTTGTACAGACATAGAATCGATTAATCGTATGATTTTATCATAATTTATTCTAAAATTTTTGTCAATACAAACCTTATCACCATCAAACCAATCAAAATTTGGCACTGAATTACTTTTACATATAATCTTTTCATCATTTTTATAATCTCCATCTCCAGATAATCTTTCATATGATATTATTATTCCCATTGTTTTGAAAAAGTCAAGAGAGAGTTAAAGTGCAACTAAAATTGAATAAACTAAATTATTATAGGTAATGTATACAAGATACATGTGACCATGCGACAAATATAATACGTCTTCCATAACTGATAAGTTCCGTTAGTTTCAAATTCTATTAATAATATTATTTAGTTTCGTGAGTTATGGAAAAAAGTTTATACACTATTTTCTTTATATCACGCTAAACCTAGTTACGTAGAACTTTTGACAATAATTTACTATATATCATACGACTGGTATACGTATAATATGAATGCTCTTGTGCATTATCACAAAAAAGGATTGACGATCAGGATTTTTAAATGCACGCTTAAATTAATTAATTTAATAAATAAAAAATAAAAAAAAATTTACGTAAAAATTAGCCGAGACCTTATTCGGTGCTGATTAAACGATGCATTCCGACTGGGCGTCTTTTTCATGCATAAAATAATATTCATTATCGTTATTAACACCAATAATAATCCATGCTAATTTATCTGCATGAGCAATGCTAAATTACAAAATTGAAAATGATGACAATATTAAAGAAATGTTTCTTTGATGATATAATATTGTTATTAACGATTCTTTATCGTCATTAATACGTATTGATAGAATTTCATTATCATATACTGTACGTATTTAGCCGCATTAAATGTTCAATTCTTGTACGTACGTATCATTATGACGTTCCGTTTACTTTACGATTATGTACGTGATTCCTTTGAGATTTATTGATCAATTTCCGGAAACCCATTTTAAATATCTAAATTTGACATTTTCGAGAAACAAAAGAGTATATATGCGCGTTATGGTTTGTTTCTGTCAAAGTGATTCTTTTACGTAAAGTTACAATGTATGATTTTTATGATTAGGATATATTTTACAGTAAATATTCGATCTTTATGTATGCATTTTATAAAATTAGATAATATAATATATTTAAATACATTTAAAGCTAATGATTTCTAAAAATCTATAACTAGGAATCTGTCTACATTCGATTCATTTCAATTATATTTCAAGTGATTCAAAAATACTAAATTATTGTGCAAAAAACCTCTCAAGTAGATCGTCTTAACAAATCTAGATTTTTAAAATACAACATAAACAAATTATAATATTCACATTTCTAAGAGCAAATATACATACGTCCATTTCGACAGTAAAAAGCAACTAAGTATTCCCCACTCTAGAACCCTGATTTTATGAATGCTACTAATCAAAAAAATGGCTAACCATATATTTTTTTATCACAACTTATTTTTTATAATATAAATAAAAAATTGGAATTGGTTTATAAATAATTATAATACTCATGTCCAATTGCATATCCATTGCATAATTCAACCACCTCTTCGATAGTTTCTGCTTGACATGCCGTTTCAGCTTCTATCTCCCGACTTTTCTGACCCCTGTGTTTTTCCCATAACGCATCCACCCTTTCTATATTATGTTGACCCCTCTTTGTCAATATTTCCGCATCATAAATTTCTGCATCTTCAAAGTCGTAGTAATTCCCATTTCCATCGTTTTCTAATTCATCCAAAGACACCGCCACGGGCTCATCATATCTCTGCCCATCATCAAGATTGTCGTGAATCACACATCGTTTCTCTTTATTTTTATTATTGTCAAAAATTGTATATTGTCCATTTTCTTCATTTTTTTGATACTGGAATCCGAATTCCAATAAAGTTTGACTTAAAGTTTCAATATAAACCCCTATTTTGGCTGCTTCCAATAAAGGATCCTTTAAATTTCGTGATTTGTTAATTTGATTTTGAATTGTTTTAATGCCTTCAAGCGTAATATATTCAAAACGGCAAATAGGGTTTAGCGATTGGCTTATAGATCGTTTTTCTTTATTATGAAATGAAAAGTTAGACATTATTTGGATATGGGAGTATGTTTGTTTATTTGAAAAAAAACGGTTGGAATTTTCTTTAATAAGAAACTTTAAATATGTCTATTAATAATAATCACTATTATTATAGTCATATTAAACTTAAGTTTACGAATTATGATGTAAAATTACGATCCATAAATTTAATTTTTTGATTGTCCAATCACGAACTTAATCGATACGTATTTCACATTTAATGTTACATATAATGTGCGTACGTAGTTAGGAGTATTGTAATTATTTGAATTATTTGAATTATGCGATAATAAGTAACCAATCCATTCGATATTGTTTTTACAATGTTTTCAAAAGAAAAAGCCGAAAACTAATAAGAAGTTTTACTATTATCAAATCAAATAATCTTAATATTCACTTTATACAGTGTCCGGTTCAATTTTACTAAAATATTATAATTAAAATTTTTACTATATAGTATGTTATGGTATAAAAATTATACTATTTAATAAGCATTTATTAATTGCTTTAGAAGTAGTTATTTTAATTACATTTTTATTTCTGTTTTTTGCAATTGTATAACACTAAATATTATTTTAATATTTGTTATAATATAGCATAACTATAATAAATTATTTATATATAACTGTAATACATTAATAAAATAGTTTAACACATTTATTTATACTGTATTTTTTAAAAAATTATTATTATTGATAGTATAATTTATTTAAAACAAATTAAATAGGAGTTTACTAAAACGCATCTATGGTGTTACACCTATGTATGTGCTTTCTTAAAAACTGACTAATTAACCAGCATAAAGTATTCTAAGTAAAAATATTTTATGCCCTAAAAAATCTTTCCCAAACTCTAATCCTAACGTGTAAAAATTTGGCTTGAAAATTTTATATACAAACTTATAAAAACTTCAAAAAATTATATTATAAATATAATGCACTATAGGTGTAATATAATAATTGTATTAAAATAGCTTTTGTATTAATAATTTTTTTGTTTATTTAACAATATAAGTTAATTAAATTATTAATTATCAAGAAAATTAAGTAAATATAAATTTGCAATTTTTTGAATTTTTGCAGTTTTTTGCAAATTTTTGCAGAATTTGTTATAAAAAATCTTTTAAAGTTTTGTACAGAATTGTATTTAAATTTGAAGTTTTATTAGAAAAATTAAATAAGTGTAAATCTGTAAAAACCTGTATTTTTGCAGATTTTTACAGAATTTTTACAAAATTTTTGAAATTTTGAAATTTTATACAGAAATTACACTTAATTTCTGCATTTATAGCTGTCAGAGTTGAAGTTTTACGCAAATTTTCATTTGATTTATTATTTAGTTTTTTTTTGCAAATCTGTACAGGACTGCATTAAAAAAATTTTTAAATGTTTGTACAAAATTTTATTTAATATTAAAGCAATTTGAATAAATTTGGTTTAATTTTATATATATTATAATAATATTTTAATTTAAATTTAAAAATAATTATTTATAAAGGGCTTAGTAAAGTTGTCTAGTTGTCACCCACCAAGCAGCAGGTCTAAGATTCAAATCCCACAGATAGTATCTTTAAAAAAATAAAGCCTATATTACAGTGATCAAATACTAATTATTAGATTAAAAAGATCTGTAACTTGAGTTGTACCAAGGTGCTAGTATTTGAAAAAGCTTGTAGCATTCATGTAGCTTTGAGTAAAACTAGTTATACAAAAGAATGCTAACTGGTTTTAGGTGGTGCAAACATATGATAAGTCCAAAAAAATGTGTAAATCTCAGAGATTATTGTAAGTACAAAGAACTTGTTTGGAAGTTTTAAATTGGGAAGTAGTGGCTAATTTTTAACAGTACTGCAGAATAGAAGACAAAACTAAGAACTCAACCAGTGGCTTGATAATCATGACCCTAATAGGTTCAGAGTCACATCAATCTGGCCATCAGAGTTGCACTAGAGGAAAAGAATATATGCTTTAGAAGTGTATGCCAAGAGGAGGAAGATCATTAGGTATTTAAAGCTAGGCAAACTAACCTTTTTGAGCTAACTAGATTGGTAGTAGGGATGTCTCTAGAGCTAGACTCATGAGTTAAAAAAGAAGTTGGTATTAGAATTAGTTGTGAACTCAATAAGGGCAAAGAGTACATAATGGGCAACCAATTAGAAAGGTTGGGCTTGAAATATAAATTGTATTATAGCAGTACCTCAAAAGATGGTATGAGATATAAACACAATAGTAACAAATAATATGTACTAATTGGGAAGAAATTATCAAACATGCAGGTGAGTGTATGTGTGGAACATGCACTATTCTGTTAGATTTATTACAAGAATAAATGCTTTCTGTTGTTGGCTAAAGTCTTAAAGCCTTTATATGGTAAACTACTATTCCCAAAAGGGTATATTAGGAGGAAGCATGTACCTTATTTTCCCCAAAATAAGCTACTATTTTTGGGCTAAAAATTACACAAAAATTCCCAAAGTAGCTTATTTTGAGAACAATTATTTTTTATTAAGTAAAAGTAGTTATTATATATAAAAGTCAAAATGGTACTAAGTAAATATATATTATAAACTTAATAAAAGTTGTTTAAAATTAAAAAATATACATATTCTAAAAGTTTTTTTTTTTTTTTTTAATATTAAGGTGACTACTTAGGCCCCTGGCACTTTATTAGTTCAAACGGGTGGGCCGTCCAAAGACGGCTTACATATTACATCAGTATAACGAGAGTACAACTAGTCACATGTACAACTTTTGGTTGCCTATTTAAGT